CGTATGATTTGTACTGAAAGGAATAATACATGTTTTTGTGCAGGATACTTTTATTTAAATAAAAACTGTTTCCTTCCGGGACCATTTCATTTACAATGTCTCAAGAAATCAGCTTGTGAATCATATCACAATAAAAAATCGGCCAAATAAATACATAGCTTCTATTTCTGTATTCTTATTGATTTGGACGGATGAAGACTTGAGTCAGGATATGCGTGTTACAAACTGTATTATTTGACTGGGATGTATAGGAGAGATATAAACATGGTTAGTTCTAGCAAAACGCCCTAGCATGATCCCTGCTCTGTGGAGACCCAACTCTCCACCTCTGACGCCACAACCACAGACACAGTAGCTACAGTATATTATCACAAATGTTTGGCAAAAACAAAAAGAATGCTTATTCCCTTATTTCGCTTTATTTGCATATACATTCAATTAGTAACCAATCACGCAAGACCTTACAGACTGGCTGAGGATTCAATCATGCAAAGTCTTGCTCAGGAATATGGAATTAACAGCCAATCCGTGACGTCCTTTCTGAAAGACAGTTAACGATTCTGAAAGACAGTTAATGATTCTGAAAGACAGTTAATGATTCTGAAAGACAGTTAATGATTCAAGGATAACAGGATGAATTCTGCACTCGTAATGTCCACATTGATGTGAAACTCATTGGAAATTGCAGCCAAATGATTTTGTTGCAATGTATAAAAGTTGAGTAGCAAATATTTGTGACATAAACTGAAAATTAACTTGGAGCTGTGAAAGTACAAAACAAGGGGAGGTAATCTGTCCCTTGTGAGCCGTTCCGATATGAAATAACATAACAGAAGAGATCATATGTCCAGAGTCCTGGTGCTGTGAAAATACTTAACAAGGGGAGGTAATCTGTCCCTTGTTTGCTGTACTGCTATGAACTAACATAACAGGAAAGATAATCTGTCCATAGTCATGATTCTTAACAAGGGGAGGTACTCTGTCCCTTGTTTGCTGTACTGCTTTGAATTAACATAACAGGAAAGATAATCTGTCCATAGTCTTGATTCTTAACAAGGGGAGGTAATCTGTCCCTTTATTTTATTGGTGCAGTGAAAGTACATAACAAGAGCAAGTACTGTAGACCGGGACATTTTCGCTTCAGTTTAACTTTAGCCTTTTTTGCCCTCCGTAATGAGGGCGAAGTTATAATCATAGTGAACATTGGTCAACCACATAGTTAAATCAAATGTGGAGGGAGACATGAACACAGGGTTGATATGGAGATAAATCTGGTCAAGGGCAAATAATTTACTGAGCAGTCATTTCCCAGTATATAGTAATCTTTTCCTTCATACTTTTCATGCAAAAATGACAACACTTGGGTGCAGAATTAGAATTACGTAAGGAAATTGGGATCGTCCCATATAAATGAATGAAGTGATACTGCACTAGTGTCTAATATCTGTCTCTTTACCTAAACCTAATTTCCCTTTACATAAACCTGATTGACCTAGTGTGATGTGATATTGAGGGGACTTCTATAGCTTTGTATGGTTTCTTTGTCTAGAGATTAATGGTCAGGTTGTCTGGTCAGATAAAAGCAGTTAGAAGCATTGTAACTTGGCGTGTTTAGAGTCGATAGTCATTTGTGCTTTGTCAGCAGAATCGGCTCGATTGTCACATCCTTTGTGCTGAGTAATGGATTCATTGGCCTCCATCCACCATCAGCTCCATTCAGGTGTAACACTGCGCTACATATCACCTCTGCCAGGTCTCTCCAGCAGGTTATTAAAATATTACTTTTGCCTGTTGCCGCCTTGTAGTTGGATAGGTACTCTCATAGTCCATGTTTTCATGCGAGGCTTTGGCTGTTTATCATCAAATTCATAGCCCTCAGCAATGGTGATGTCTCTAGTTTAACGATTCCCTTGCTAACGTTTCTCTTTGATGAAATATGTCTGTTAATTTAGCAAAGTACCTGTTGGTGTATTAATTGTGGAGGCGATTTGTGGGAGGGGCCTGCACTTTTATACCTCCACATACCCTAGGTCAGCATCACTGCCTTTAACGTACATGCTTTTTGGTCAATAATGTAACTTTAGACGCTGCCATTTAACAAGCGAGTGCATGGGGATGACAAGATATCGTGTAATTGGTGCTGAGGGACTCCGACTGTTACGCAGTGCACCACGCTGTACGGTAATAACACGTCTGCTCTGTAGAACACATACAGCTCTCATCATCACAATAAACAAACGGTACTATGAAATTGTAATTGTTAGAATTATTTCCAGAATATGCATTGCTCTGAAAATCATCTCAAATCTACCATGGGGATGCATCCTGTATGAATAATGGCTGGCAACAATTAGCATGTTTTGACATTGAAAGCCTGGAGAACGAAAGGACTTGATAAATAACCATTGCAAGTTCTGGTGTCATGGGATTGTAAATATCACAAATTGCTTGGAGAATCATTGATCTGACAAAAAATATAAAACAAAAATTGAGAAGAAATAGTGTAGAATGTATAATTTTCTCACAAAATGATGGAAGGATGGAATTGTAAGTGTAAGACATTGCATTAAACGCGGCAGTGGTGACGTATTACCATAGCAACGGAAACAGAATAATACTGTTCTCTCAGTAATTGGACACATAGAATTGCAAATGTTGCACATAAGTTTTTACGAAATCTGCACAAGTTTGATCTCGCAGGAGCTCTTCGATCATTGAAGATGAATATAGGTTGTTTCATTAAAGTGATGCTATTCTATCGTTAGAACCCCCCCCCCACAAAAACAGCAATCGTTTGAATTTCTTTGAATGATAATCGAAGCAGGACTGAATTTGCAGTCATACTGCTCTTTAATGCGGCACTGCTGTTGCGCTTGTGACATTGGACTGCACCACTGAGTGCACTTCACTCCAATTAAAATACCCTAATTCACTGCAACTTTCCCACTGATGAGCAGGCGACACCAGGTGCCAACTCGGAGAAATAAACATGTTTCTGTTTTTGAGCAGTTTGAGTGAGAGAAGTGCTAAATTTGATTTTTGTTCAGTTGCATTTCATGAAAGTCAGTATGAAACTTACCACAGTTTTAACTCCAGTTACTGTTTGCATTGTAATTAGAAATCAATAACAGTCTTAAACCTAAATGGTGTTGCAGACATTTTTCCCTGTAAAGGATACATTCTAGCCTTTCATTTCACTATCTCATCCTGCAGAAGTTTGGAAATGCCACAGGATGAATTCGAATAGGATTAACTGTAGGTTAATCAGCTGATCAATCTCATGAATATATTTTTCTAATACATCTCGAATCATTGCAATGTTGCTTGTACAAAATTTCAGTTAAAGCTAGTAGATATTGATTCTTCAATATTTAATCTCTCATAGTCAGGCCAAGATCCTGATGTAAAAAAGGTGGTTAAATTATGTTCAACGTTTTAAAACAGCTTATTTAGAATTTATTATATTCCTGACACTTGGATAGAATCCCAACAGTACTTGGTATTTGCAGATTTTCTACTTTCCCAGAGTAATGTTTAAAGTAACTCCCCCCATCCCTCCTAACCCCCTTCCCCAAGCTGGATTCTGTGACATGTGTTTACCTCAAGGTCATCTAGGCTTGGTCTCCCCCAGACCTGTGATTGCTTGAAGTTCCCACAGACCTGTGATTTTCTCCGGTTCTCTTTGACCCTAGTTTAGGTCTGGTCCCCATCAGACCTTTGATTGTCTCTGGTCCTCTTGAACCCGAGTAAAGGTCTGGTCCCACCACACCTGTGATTGTGTCTGGTCCTCTTGGACCCGAGTTAATGTCTGGTCCCCACCAGACCTGTGATTGTGTCTGGTCCTCTTGGACCTGAATTTAGGTCTGGTCCCCACAGACCTGTGATTGTGTCTGGTCCTCTTGGACCTGAGTTTAGTCTGGTCCCCACAGACCTGTGTTAACTAGAGTCTGCTGAGTCTTTATTGTGCCACAGGTTCTCCACAGATCTGTGTGCACCTAACACTGCTAGTTCAAACATAAATGCCTGTGCTAGGAAATGGAATGCTATAACACTTCAGTAGGAATGTTTAAGAACACACAAACAATTGTCAGGGCTATACATCTAAGGTAAAGACAATTATTACAGTAGACCAGTCTATTTAAGTGAAAGTTATCGATCAGACATAATTGAAAATATAATTATTTCTGCAATCCGATGTACACAGTGCAAACAGGTTCGTTTAGTTACCTGGCTCTCAGGATTGCGTAAATACGAGCAAGGATACATAACGATGATCAAATTAGAATGTTCAACTATTAAGTGGACATATAGGGTTTGATGAAGATGGAGTATAAATACCTGTACCAGTCTATCAGGCACCTGCTTGGTTAAATGTCTCCCTTGTAAACAGTGGACATAATTACCTGTTTATTGAGAGTACTTGTATGGGTAAAACCATCATGCTGCTGCTGCTGATGCTGCCATTAGTTTAACAATGGCTTTTAATTGGTCCCTTCACTTTGTTCACTGTCTGTTATGTGCAGTACTAATTCACCGCTGTCTTCTATCTATATGAAAACCAAATGTTAAATACATGCTATATATTGTTTTATTCTTCCATTTTTATCCCCCTTCAACATAGTGGAGGGGGCATTAAGTATTTTCTGTTTCCATTGGTCCATCTATTTGTCTGACATTTCGGTAAGTTGGACTTGAAGTCACAATATTAAAAGTCCAATAGTTATCAAATTCATCTCTGTATACATCTTGATAAGGACCGCACCATCTTGATAAGGACCGCACCATCTTGATAAGGACCGCACCATTCTATGAAATGTAGGTCACCGTGACCTATATTTTCTGCTTCACTGGCCTTGGTTAGATTTTCAGTCTAGCGATCTTTCCATTAAAGCAAGAGAGGGGACATAAGTATGTTTTACAAACATGTTTGATCTGAATACATTATCTGTTTCTTCCTTTTTTGTATAGATCTCTATTAACCAACTTCTGTATTCTTCCAGGTTGCGATATCGTCCCAAGAGGTTGCAGAGGCATATGAGGAGGTCGTCATTGATGAGGGAAATGCCATCCGAAAGAACATGTACTTTGACACGGACCAGCGCCACCTATATGCCTTCACAGATACAATGGTAGGCAACTTTTTATCTTGGTATCTACTTAACAGCATGACTTTCAAGGTCAAATGATACAGACACAAGGTCAAATACTGTCAGACTCAAGGTCAAATTCTGATACACTTTAGGTGGAACACATACTGACTCAAGGTCAATTATGAGTTCGACTCAAAGGTTAAATGCAAATAAGCTAGAGGTCAAGTACATACAGACACCATATAAAATATGAGATAGATTCAAGGTCAAATACATACACACTGAAGGTCAAGTCCAGATAGACTCAAAAGTCAAATACAATCAGGCTCAAAGTAATGCAAATAGACTTAAAGTCAAGTACATACAGACTCAAGGTCACTAATGAGATCGATTCAGACACGAGGCTAAGTACATACAAACATGGCCAAATATGTCCAGGCTTAAAATATAAGTACAGAGTACAGGCCGAAACTAGGTCAAACAAACAAGGTCAAACCCTTGATCATTCTTGTTTAGGAATTAACAGTTGTAGAAAAAAGCTTCTGAACACGTACCAGGTTGTCAGAAAAATCTGTGTCTAGAATTATTCAGTTGATCGACGGGAAAGGTTAAAGTTATTATTCATTGAAATGCGATGAGTTCAGGGTCAAGTGGAGATTTACAAAAAATCCTCAATTGTTGTCGGAACCAATGGAAGGCCAATCAGATTGAGAAATTATTATATTGATTGCATTCATGTCATTAAACAGAAGTTGAAGTCAGGAGGGTTTATGCGAAAAGGAAATAGCTGTTATTTTTCAAGGTTGACTTTCTCTGAATGTGAAAGCAAAGTCTTCCGATGTTATTGGTATTTCCCTTCAAAAATGCTGATTAGGGAAATTGTTGTAGGAATCTTGTGGTAATGCCTGTAGAATGGGTCCTGTGTGGATCAGCCGTACTGGTATTGCTGAGTTTAATTGTTAAACAAAGGCTCTGGCATCAGTAATTAGAGCCGCGGGGCTCGGGGGGACGGACAGAATATTTCACCAACAACAACCGCCATCAGTAGTGTGGAGTTTCCCGTGCTGACACCAAGCCATACCTAGATGGTAGCACTATAGAATGGTGTAGAGTCTCGAAGCTGTAGTGGTTCACATTATAAAACTTGATGTAAGGTATATCGGTTAATGTCAGCACAAGAAAAGTGTCGGTTAAAGTCATCAAGGGATTTTGTCTTCGGAGAAGATTTTAAGTAAAAAAATAGCATGGTGTTTCTTTAGTATAAACACGTTGGTAATGACGAAATCGGAGATAAAAGAAATAAAAGAAGTAAAACGTGGTTATGAGTCGGAATGGCTGTGATTGTATAGTGTCATCTTTGTCACTGTAGAATTCTGTGATGACAAATATTGATGTTCATTATACACTTTAGCTTAAAATCCTATTAAGTGCCTTGTTGAGTTTTCATGGGGATAAACAAAATCAGTCATTTGTCCTTTTTCATTTACAACTACTAACAATAGTTCCAAAAGACAAAAGAAAACACATATCTCACTTAGCGCAACTTTTTTAAGGGATGGCCGGATTCATCCATAGCTGCTCAATTGGAAAACAAAAGATATAAAAACAAAGGCGGATTGTAATAGATTGGTGGCTAAGGACCGTAAAATCCACTTCATGTGGCGTAAGGTGATGGCTGGAAACCAAAATTGATCAGTTCATTCAATCTATCAAGGCCTGAGCTCCGTGTATATAGCCTCAGGGCTTGATGGAGCAGTGAACAACAAGTAATGCTTGTTCCGTTTGCCAGGGCTCCAGGCTACTACAGATTTGTTAGACAAATTGTGGGCTTTTAATTTGAAGTTAGGTCTGAGGGACATGACTATGTGATTAAGATGAAGTGAGGCTGTTGTTTGAAGCTCGTCTGTGTATGTATATTATTTTCTGGTGGTGTGGCGGAGATCATATATACCGTCTCCTGACAGAATTTGAACGTTAATATTGATTATCGGGGAAATGGTTTGTCTACTAGTATCTGTCTTTGTCAGTCTTTCCATTTGGGAGAAAATTGAAATTCTTGATAAAAGTTTTTTTCCCTTCAAGTTTTCGTGACTATGCTTATATGATTTTGGAGAAATTTATGAACATCATACAGGGTATATTGTAGATACTACCTCTTGTATATAAATCTGAATGACCTCGTATCATACAGGATTTGTTTTAAAAGCAAAATTACTTTTTCTAGCATACACACATATATATCTTTATGTCGACTTGTAGAATATAGGTGGTAATTTTTATGGAAGACAAATCTAAATTCCAAATAAGGACATTGATCATCATGGCAGCATGCAATTTCCTGATGCTGTTGGTAACTAACGTCAATGTGAAATGAATCTTTCTTGATATAAATAGAACACTCCGAATCCGCCCATGTTATGGATGATATACACACGATCCTGCCATGTAACGGGTTTAATATCGGCAATTTTGCCTCATGATACATTAACAATACAAAGAATTTGGCTATATGATATAAATAATATAGAGTCTGCACTGCATGTATGTGCCCCTGCTTTAGTTGAATGGTGTCCTGACTGGCCTTGACCAGAGGAAATGGTCAGTTAGCTGTGATGGATGACCGGTGATCAGCTATCTGTCATTATTGACATGTGGGTGCAAGATTATGACATGTATAGACCATAAAGCTGTTGATCAACCTTGTTGAGGCTTTTATGTTAGTCAGTATCTTGCTGATGTTTTATAGACTGATCTGTGTCCTGGCCATGCTTAATTGACCAATAATTTTAGGAATTGCTTTGTTTTTTCTTCACACTTTTACATATGGTTTCTGGATCAGTGGTGTAGATAGTGCAGGACGTTCTTTAACTACGACATCCTCTACCATACAAAAACACTAGTATATTGTTAAAATGGTCAAAACCCTCCTACATGAAATACATACATGCCTATTTGCTTTGGAATTGTTTCTTTATGTGTAGGTGCCAATTTTCTATGTTGTGAGAAGGAAATATTATCGACAGAAAATGGAAGTCTTTTGTTTAGAAGTATCATTTGTATTATAGTCTAACCATTCACATATAATGAGCACACATCACTCACACGGGCTAATATTCATGCAAAAGTCAATGGGATGTTTCTTCCTCATTATTTTTGTTTTAACAGAGAGGGAGTAAATCTGACGTAAACCTCACTGACGTGCTGTTGGACTGAAAGGCCGTGCGTGCATGGCAATCTAGTAAATACCATCATTAAAAACAAAGCAAGATTCTTTGAACATCAGTGGGAGCTGAAAACAAGTTGCCATTAATTCAACGTTTCCATAAATAATACATTAATTGCTTTAACGTTTACCATCCTACACCTAGTACCACTATCTTCACCTCATACTGCCGTGGCCGTAGCCTACATCCGTGATTCGGCAGGAGATCCGTTGAAGGATATAAAAGCACCATTTAAAATGTTGTCAACATACCGTGATATTGCAACTAAAAGCATTCATCAGAGCGCCCCAGCAAAATTATAGCTGCAGATGATTCGTAGAGAGTTTCTTCACATCTGTTTTGAAATTTAAAATGGTGCAAATGAAAGATAATGTTAGCAATTAGGATGGAAATAATAGGCCCTAGCCCACACCTTTATACACTAAAAGTCTTTACATGGCCTATAGCATCTCTTGCTGTGTATCAACTGCTGGGAATATAGAATCACGTTTTTTTCTGTAGAAATTATATGTATTATTTTCAAATTAAGAGTAAATCTATTTCATGAATTCAGCTATTGAAATAACAAATAGTCAATGCATTTACATAATTAATTTGCCTTGAGCAGCAACACATGGTGAGGTTTGATATGAACATGATTCATAGAAATCTGGTAGTACAATTTAGAGTAGGAGTGGTTGGAAAATTCAAATGTACACCATGGGAGAAGCTGATGGTAACCATTATAGGTTTCAATGGCACCATTATAGGTTTCTATGGTAACCATTATAAGTTTCAATGGTATCCATTATAGGTTTCTATGGTATCCATTATAGGTTTCAATGGTAACCATTATAGGTTTCAATGGTATCCATTATAGGTTTCTATGATATCCATTGTAGGTTTCAATGGTAACCATTATAGGTTTCAATGGTAACCATTATAGGTTTCTATGGTATCCATTATAGGTTTCAATGGTTACCATTATAGGTTTCAATGGTATCCATTATAGGTTTAAATGGTAACCATTATAGGTTTTAATGGTACCATTATAGGTTTAAATGGTAACCACTATAGGTTTCAATGGTACCATTATAGGTTTCTATGGTACCATTATAGGTTTCAATGGTACCATTATAGGTTTCAATGGTAACCATTATAGGTTTCTATGGTATCCTTCAATGGTAACCATTATAGGTTTCAATTCTAACCATTATAGGTTTCGAGGATGATGACCCAAGGGTTTCCTATGGAGACTCAAGAGAGTTTCCTTTAAGACTAAACAACTTCTGAGATAAACTCTTGATAGTTTTGTATGTTTCCCTGAGAATTTCTTTTGAAATTCAAGAAATTTTGTGAAATAAAATGAAATAAACCATGCAAATTTCTGTTGGAGACTGATAGTGACTATTCTAGAGTTTCTATTGGAAACCAGAAAGCAAATGAGATGAATGAGTTTCTCATTTAAAGATCTATAGAGGGAGAAGGAATCCACCATTGGTTATAAAGGCCAGCGTTTAGCTTGTGTCATTGTAACGTATTAAAGGCCATCCAGGTACCTGTTGTGGAGGTTGTTGTGTTGGATACTGGCCATGGTGTGGGAGGGAGAGAAGAGGTGGGGGTTAAAATCACCCAGTCACTGTCAATTCAGCAGTGGGGTTACTTGAGCGTGAAATTTACGAGGGGACTTCAGAGACTGATAAGAAAACAAGAAACAATGCTTGGGCAATGTTCATCATCGACAATGGCACAGGATTGATGTGCTATTGATTTCTAAGTTGGTATCAAAACTTATCGCAAAAGCTTCCCTGCCAGGCGTCTCGGCTATGCCACGCC